ATTCCTGAAGTTGTCCTTGTCTTTGTTTTCTTTTCTTTTCTTTTTGAGACAGAGTCTCCCTTTGTTGCCCAGGCTAGAGTGAGTGCCAGGGCGTCAGCCCAGCTCACAGCAACCTCAAACTCCTGGGCTCAAGCAATACTTCTGCCTCAGCCTCCTGAGTAGCTGGGACTACAAGCATGCACCACCATGGCTGGCTAATTTTTTCTATATATATTAGTTGGCCAATTAATTTCTTTCTGTTTTTAGTAGAGACAGGGTCTCGCTCTTCCTCAGGCTGGTTTCGAACTCCTGACATCGAGCAATCCGCCCGCCTCGGCCTCCCAGAGTGCTAGGATTACAGGCGTGAGCCACCGCGCCTGGCCCTTGTCTCTGTTTTCATAGCTTATGCTTACTCCCAAGCTGCTGTCACCTCTGTAGGAAACACCACAGAGAAAGAAAATGCATGGTAATGCAGAATTGCCATAAGAAAAATTCAAGAGAAGGCCCAAGCCATAGAACAGGTTGGTGATCTAAAATAAAGTCAAGACAATCTCCAAAAATACGAAGCAAAAGACAAAGAACATACACAAACAGAGCTGAAAGGATGTAGAAGACAGGTCTGTGAAGTGGAAGGGCAGATGTATCAGTAAACCATAGAGTAGGCAACGCACAGAATGGAAGAGCAGCCCCAGGAGAAGCAGGTGAGGCTCAGACGGAACCAACCAACCATGCAGAAGAGGATGAAGGAGGGCCCGCCACGCACACATTCTCATGCAATTCAGCATTGCTGGGAATAAAGGCACATGAAAGGAATGAGAGGCAGCCTGGCGTGAGACCTCCTTCCTATCAGCAACTCTGGATTCTAGAGTAGCTCACAACTCTATGAGAGGAGCAAGGCCTTCAAAGTTTTGAGAAAAAATTCTTTTAAACCTAGAGTTCTACACTCTGCTCAACTATCAATTACTGAGGCCAAAATAAGAACATTTTATAAAACGAAAAAATCAAAAGCTTACCATCTGCTTTACATAAAAAAATAACTCTAGAATGTACTGACACATCAGGGGCTGGGGTGGAAAGGGAAGTTATCCAAGAAAGAACATAAGGAATATAAACAACAGTAAGTGGTTTAGGAAGTCCTAGAAAAACAAAGCTGAAGATGAATGAAAAATGAATGTGTCTGATCCATGGCATTAGGAACACTCACTTTCAAGTAGCAAAGGCGTGGTAACATGCAATTCTACTTCCTCCTCGGTGGCCCTGCTTAAAATGTAATCACAATAGTCCACTCATCTTCCCGCTCTCACTTCATACTTCTCCTCTCACTTCAAACCGCCAGCTCCACCCACCACCCCGAGCAGTAAGGGCTCCGACTCCATCTCTCAGTGCAGCAGGAAACAGAACTGCCTGCCTCTGGCCCTCTCCTCTGACCTGCCAGTGCTCCCAGCCTACACAGCACAGCACAGCCCCACCCCTCATGGTACAGTCACTGACACAGCTCGGCCATCCTCTCCCCTCTCCTCTCGGGGCACCACCAGTTCTCCCTGTCCTCTGCAGCACTCCCACCTGCTGTGTTCAAGAATGTTGTTTTGCAGCAGGGCACAGTGGCTCACGCCTGTAATCCTAGCACTCTGAGGCTGGCGGATCATTTGAGCTCAGGAATTCGAGACCAGACTGAGCAAGAGCGAGACCCCATCTCTACTAAAAATAGAAAGAAATTAACTGGACAACTAAAATTATATAGAAAAAATTAGCCTGGCATGGTGGCTCATGCCTGTAGTCCCAGCTACTCGGAAGGCTGAGGCAGAAGGATTGCTTGAGCCCAGGAGTTTGAGGTTGCTGTGAGCTAGATTGATGCCACAGCACTCTAGCCCAGGCAACACAGTGAGAAAAAAAAAAAAAAAAAAAAAAAAAAATTAGCTAGGCATGCTGGTGCATACCTGTAGTGCCAGCTACTTGGGAGGCTGCAACAGGAGGAACACTTAAGCCCAGGAGTTCAAGGCTGCGGTGAGCTACTATGGCTGTACTCCAGCCTAGGCGACAGAACAAGACCCTGTTTCTAAAAATAAATAAATAAAATAAACAAACAAACAAATAAAGCCTTTCTGACCCCAGGGACACCACACACCTGGTTCTTCTCTAACACCAATGAGGCTCCTCTGCTGCTCCTCAGGCTCCTCTGCTGCTCCCTCTTCTTTGCCTAGACCTCCTCTTGGAGTGCCCCAGTGCTCAGACCTTGAACCCTGTTGTTTCTATTATCAACTCCCTTAGCATTATTATCCCATCTTGTGGCCTTGGGTGTCTACTAAATGTTCCCTTACTGACATCTCTAACCTCTCAGAACTCCAGACTCACATATTAAACTGTCCACTTGACAGCTCCAACTGGATGTCTAACAGGCACCTCAAAGTTGACATAGTTAAACCTGCTCAGTCTGCAGTGCCATCTCAGGTAATGGCAATTCCATGCACCTAAGTGGTTAGGCCAGAAATCCTGGTGTTATTCCTTGATTCTTCCTCACACCTCATGCATCCAGTATGTCCATGAATCCTATAGGTTAGACTCAACCTTCTGGCTCATGGGAGGTAATGACAGTAATAGAACTGACTTTAGAAAGTGAATGATATGGCCAGAAAAAATTTAGAGGTGAGGAAAGAAAAAGATGCAAGAAAGTGTAAGCATATTTAAACTAATAATTCATGTAGAGAAAATTTAGACTGTCTCATGTTATTAAATTGAGATTATAAAGATAACCATTAAAAACCCAAAAGGCAATTAACCAACTACCATATGAAATGATGCCTTTTACTGAAGAATGAAACTGAAGAAGGGGAGGAGAGATATTTTTCACGACAACCCTTTTTTCCCTTTTTACTGTACACATGCATTACACTCCGTAGGAGCTACAGTACTAACAGGACACACTGATCTTCCAAGACAGTGTCCTACAGAATCACTTGATATGACTGTTTTCATGCAAGTAATTAGCAAAACTCTGAATGAAATCTGGTTCAGAGGAGAAGGGAAAAAAGGAAAAAAACAAAATGAATGAAAACTGGTCCTACCTCTTGTGTAAAAATGTAGGATAAACCTGGATAGCTGGTTAAGAACTTTACAGTGGAGGTTTTCAGATGTTCTAGCAACACAATAGAACACAGAGGAGAAAAATTCTGCATTGACCAACATCTGTCATCTGAAAAGAGAAAAATAAACCACCTTAGAAGTAGTAATGCCACTAAATTCTATGCCCTTTAGGACTGTCATCTCCTTGGCCAAACTGTAAACTTTTGAGAGTAGGAATTATGTTTAAGAGCCTTTTTCAGGGGGCCATATTGCATAATAGGAACACAACTGGCTGCGTTTGCCACATACTTAGTGGCCTTGGACAATTATGTCTGTAAAATGGTGAAAATAATAGTATTTTCATCCTCAAGACCTTTCTGAGGGTTTAAATAAAGTGCTTACTGCAACGTCTAGACCATAACAAGCATCTAAATATTTTTAGCCTTACTGTAGTCATAGTCAGCCCTCAATAAATTACTCAGTTCTTTTCATTACCCAGGTTAAGATGAGATTTGAGCAAAGCCCGGGCTTCCCTTTTGATCTCCTTCTTGCTTTTCTCAGGCATCGAGTAACGAACTGCACTGATAGTCAGGTGGGTATGGGTATAGGTAGAGAAGACATCTTGGGCAGGCTGGCCTTGGCTGATGTTAAAACCAAACACCTGCACCTGGCCATAGAGGCAAGTCACACGGCAGATCCCGCTGAAAGTAAAACCCTAGCAGGAAAAGAAAAAAAAAGGCAGAAATAACATTATAGATCCTGTTACTAATGACTGAAAAATTTTAAAATCTTAACTTGCTATTCACATATCAAAAGGCAGCTGATTTCTAAGTAACAGACTACATTGTAATACATGACCATCACGTACTTTATATTTTTAACGGAACATCATGCCCCATGGCAGCTACAGAGAGCCCAGTAAATACTAACACATGAAGAACAAGCAGGTCCCATGAACTCAGCACTGCTGTCTCCTCATGGTTCAATCATCCCATCCTTACAAAGGCCCACTGCTTGCCAAACCTCTCCCCTTCCTGGGTTTTCACTTCCTGAGTTTTCACTTCGCTCCAGCATTAGAAGAGGAATTTCCCCGACCAGCGCCTATGTGAGGAATAAGGGTCCTGAATTAGGCTGCCTGAGTTCGACTTCTAGCTCTGTCTCTACTGTGTAACTTCTGGCAAGTTATGTAACCTGTCTCCTCCTCTGTAAACATGTAAGAGAGCTGGGAGTACTATAAGGTTTCATACACCCAGAACACTTAGAACCCTTAGAGCCTGCCATTTCTAAGCTCCTAACAATTGCAACCTATCATCATTTTTAGTACTAAAGACCCTTTCAGTTCTGAAGGCCTAAGGACCCAGTGGCAGGGGACCTTGCTGCTCAGGGAGAACCTGGTTACCACCGCAACGACGGACAGACTTGAATCTGACTTGCAGCCAGAGAACAGGTTCAGAGAGACCACGGTCCTCTCCTAGACCGTACCTCCCTGGGGGCTGCGTCTCCATCCCGCACTATCCCCCAGGGGCTCCCGCTGGCGCGACTCACCTGCTGGGCTGGCAGCAGAAGCAACGCGCGGCCCGGGCCCACCGGCCGCACGGGCGGGATGGGGAGGAGCTCAGGGCAAGGCCGGGAGGGGGCCGCGACCGGGGTCGGGGTCGCGCTGGGGGCCGGGTTAGGGTCCGCGGTCTTGGGCCTGCGGGTCTCATCGGTGCGCGACACCTGGCAGGCGACCTCCCTCCAGTCCGCGCCAGCCGCCTGGGCCTGCAACAGCCGCCGCCGCAGGCGCCGCCGGCCGCCCCAGCGCAGGTTCCTGAGCCGGCGGCGGGGCCTGCGGCTGAGGACGAGCTGGGGCCGGGCCTTGCGGGCCCGTAGCCACGTGGAACGGCCGGGCCCCCGCTTGTGCGGGACCGAGTCCGCCATGCTGGTCCTGCGCCGGCGGTCGCACGAGAATCTCGCGAGATCCCCTCGTCGGTCCCGCAGTCCGCCGAGCCGCTGAAAGGAGAGGTCTTGGGGGCCGCTGGCGCCCTCTGCCGGCGGCTTCCGGCAGCGCGCTGGGAGGCCCCAGCCGGCCCCGGGGTGCGCTCTGCTCTCTCAAACTAGGGGCCCCATTTACATTATGCAAAAGCTCCCTCGGGCTGGCTTCGGAGAGAAAGCCCGACACCCTGGGTCCAGCCCCTGGACCGCCTCTCCGGAAATCCACCTGGGATTTTTTTTCCCCTGCAATAAAAGCTCCAGGGTTGGCATTTTAAGCAAAACCGGTCTATTTGCATACCTTCGGTTTGCATGGATTTGTCTTTGGGCTGATGGGAGCAACCCTGGGTAACAAACTGAAACTATGATGATTCGCTCAGATTTCAGTTCCAGAAAACTGAGGACATGGGGGTAGGGATGGGGTGGCAACTCAAAGCCATGTCACATTCAGTAAACTGAGGCCCAGGTAAAACGTTCTAAAACCCACAGCTCCCTGATAGTAACTGCCTACACTGACTTCCTCAAGGGCCAAGGGAAGTCGTGTCCCAGCCTCCTCCTCCCCTCAAAATGCCAGGGCTTCCCTTCTGAGCCAGGTGAAGCCGCAGGCACCAGAGCAAGGATGGAACCCACAACCGTCCAGAGGAAGGGTCACTGGGTGCCACCTGGTTTGCATCCGTGCCTTTGCCCTGCCCAGTTCCTGAGTGGGAACACAGGCCCGGAAGCAAACAGCCCTTCCAGGGACACAAAGTTGCGAAGCGTCTGGGCAGCTGCCTTCTATTCTATTTAAGCAACCGCCAACTTAGAGCGCTCTGCTCGGCCATGCTGGACGCCGGGCCATGTGTGTGGCCAGCATGTTGCTCCAGACCGCTCACCTCGTTGGCCTGCAACTTTGCATTTCCTGCTGTTGGGCTTACAGCTGCCACAGCACTGAGTCCTCTCCCGACTTCAGCCTCCCTGGGGATTACCTCCTTGCAGGCCTGTTCTCTCTCCATGCTGAATGCCTGCAGGTGCGACGCAGACCAGAGGTGACCCTGTGTGACAGGTGAGTGTGGGGTCAGCAGAACCATCACTTAGCGGGACCTGTGGCCCCATAGCCCCTCTGCCAGCCCTCCTCAGCAGGACCTTGCCATCTGTGCCCCTGTCCTTGCCACCTCAACTGCCCCTGGTCAATCCAGGTCCGGCCTTCAAGTGCCTGCTAGACCTTCCCAGATGTTTCTGCCAGTTTCCACTTTGCAGTACGTTATTCTGTCCTTGCTGTTAGAATGTGTTGTATTGTAACTCCATTTAAGTCAACTCCTGGCTTTGTACCATAACTGGATGGCAAGGATTAATCAAGGATGTTCATTCCATCTCCCATCTCCTCCTACTCCTACCCAAGTTCAAAGCTCCTTAGTCTCCCAGATGGCAAGTGGGAAGGGGAGACACATGACACAAACCAGTAGATGCTTCAGAAGTTTAGCAAAGATAAATACTTTTCTGCCTTCATGCAGTCAATGATCTAGGTAGAGTGAACTACTGCTTTTCTTTTCTTAATTTAATTTTTTGGGGGGCGCAGGGCCTTGCTCTGTCTCCCAGGATGGAGTGCAGTGATGGAATCATAGCTCACTGCAGCCTAGAACTCCTGGACTCAAGTGATCCTCCCAAATAGCTAAGACTACAGGCACACGCTACCACACTGGACTAATTTTTTTTCCTAGAGATGGGGGTCTCACTGTGTTGCCCAGGCTGGTTTCAAACTCCTGGGCTCAAGTTATCCTCCCACCTTGGCCTTCCAAAGTGCTGGGGTTATAGGAGTGAGCCACTCCACTTGGTCTCCTTTCTTTTAAAGAAGATAGTTGATTGCAGACTGTGCAAATCTGGAGGCTCAAGAATGCTGTCAGGGCTTAGCTGCAGGTTGACCTACACATGAAGCGTACCCAACAGTTGGTCCAAGAGGAAGATTCTGGAAATCCTGGCATATGAGGACCTGCCCAAAGAGCTGCAGATAGGAACCTGGGGAAAGAAAACTTGGGCTGGAAAGAGAAGTTGGGTAGGGCAGGAAGGGAGGAAGACAGGAAAACTGGCTTTAGATAACTGGAGGACTGTCTCCCACAGGCAACAGTAAGTCTCCTCTGAGAGACTTAGGGGACAGAAGTGACAGAAGTGATGAAGAGCCTTTGAACAAGTAGAGAGGCTGAAAAATGGAACAGGCCAGCATGCTCTTTTTTTTTTTTTTTTAAGTATAAATCTTTTTTTATTTTTGAGGAAAGGTCTCACTATATTGCCCAGGCTGCTCTCAAAGTCCTGGGCTCAGATGATCCTCTGCCTTAGCCTTCTGTAGCTAGGACTACAGGTGCCTACCATGGTACCTGGCTTAGCATGTTCTTTAAGCAGGGCAGGATCATGTCACCAGCATGTCCCTGTTGTGTTCCAGACAGAAGTTCCCAAAGAAGGGGCAACAAGGTACACAGGCCCTCAACACATTCCTAGGTGTCCTGCTGAGAAGCACGAGTTAAACAAGGTTAAGCAGATGTAGTGGTTAAATTCTCTTTTAAATTTTTTCGAGACAAGGTCCCTGTAAAACGAGGGAAATCTGCCTCCAGATCACCCTCGGCCTTAAGCCTATAACATCAACTCTTGTCAGAATGTCCAGCCTGCTGGCCTGTCCTGTAAATTTTGGACGTGCCATCCCCCATAATTATGGGAGCCAATTCCTTAAAATAAACCTCTCTGACTCTATATACATCCCATTGATTCTGTTTCTCTGTGGAACCCTGACTAATATAGCAGGTTTCTCTGTTTCAGAACTGTGTGAGCCTTTTTTTTTGACACAGAGTCTCACTCTGTTGCCCGGACTAGAGTGCCGTGGCATCAGCCTAGCTCACAGCAACCTTGAACTCCTGGGATCCAGCAACCCTCCTGCCTCAGCCTGCCGAGTAGCTGGGACTACAGGCATGCAGCACCATGCCTGGCTAATTTTTTCTACATATTTTCAGTTGGCCAATTAATTTCTTTCTATTTTTAGTAGAGACGGGGTCTCGCTCTTGCTCAGGCTGGTCTGGAACTCCTGACCTTGAGCGATCCGCCCGCCTCGGCCTCACAGTGTGCTAGGGTTACAGGCATGAGCCACCGCGCCCAGCCTGTGGGAGCCTTTTGATGTTCTGGTGCTTATCTGAGGGTAGGGGGGCATGTGGCATTTCTCCAGCTTGTTCCCACCTCCCAAGGCCTGTTAACACCTACTGGAGCTATGTGTGTGCTTCAGGGCCCATGCTGAGGTCATGGTTGTAGGGGAGTGGACAGATGACCTCAGAGGTTCCTTTCTACCCCCAAAGCCTGGGGGTCTAGGAGGCCAGGGGTATACATGGGTCCTCGTCCTTCTCAGCTCTCTGCTTTCCCACAGGCCCGGCAGCTTCAACGGCCACGGCTACCACCACTTCCAGGCCATGCGCTTCGCCGTTGAGGAGATAAACAACTCCACGGCCCTGCTGCCCAACGTCACCCTAGGGTACGAGCTGTACGACGTGTGCTCGGAGTCTGCCAATGTGTATGCCACGCTGAGAGTGCTCTCCATGCCAGGGACACACCACATAGAGATCCAGGGAAACCTTCTCGACTATTTCCCCAAGGTTGTGGCGGTGATTGGGCCCGATGACTCCAACCGTGCTGCCACCACTGCCACCCTGCTGAGCCCTTACCTTGTGCCCCTGGTAAGCTGGAGCCTCAGAGGTTTGCCCGTGTCCCTCCTGGCAAGTCCAGCATGGGCTGGGGCGGCCGGGCAAGAGCTGCTGTCCCCTCAAAGCTGGTCTTGCCCTGGACTTCTTGGGCAGTCACAGCCCTTCAGTCGTGTTGCAGAGGCCCCTGACCAGCATGGTCCCTGCCCAGCCTTCCTTCCTCTCCAAGGGTTGCTTCCACATCTCCCTGCCTCCGCCTTGTGGGAAAGCCATTCTCCTCAACTGCTGCCGTGCAGCTGCACACCACTGCCCTCCCTCCCCTCTCCAGCCCGAGGTTCCTTCTCCTTTGTTAGGAACAAAACACATTTCACCTCCTGCCCATGTGTCCCACCTGCCTTCCTTCCTTTCTTCTCTTTGCTCAGAGGTGGGGGTGTCCCTTTATCTTGTCCCTATGCATATTCTTGTCCTATCTCTTGGGCCTGCCCCTCCTGGCCTGTAACAGCCCTGCACACCCTCCAGGCCCCTTTCCATCCCTTGCCTCTCCCCTTCCCATCTGCTCCCAGCCTCTGCCCTCACTACTTTTGTTCTCACACCTTCTAGATCTCCAAATCCAAGGAGTGCTTTTTAGCCCTTCTTTATCTTACATGACTTCTTTTTTTTTTTTATTTCAGCATATTATGGGGGAACAAATGTTTAGGTTACGTATATTGTCCTTGCTCCCCCACCCCCGCCATCTCCCCCCCTTAGAGTTTTAAGCACCTCGCACTCATTATGTATGTATATACCCATCCCCTCCTCACCCTCCCACCTGCCCAACGCCTGATACATTTTTTTTTTTTTGAGACAGGGTCTCACTTTGTTGCCCAGGCTAGAGTGAGTGCCGTGATGTCATCCTACTTCACAGCAACCTTAAACTCCTAGGCTCAAGCAATCCTGCTGCCTCAGCTTCCCGAGTAGCTGGGACTACAGGCATGTGCCACCATGCCCGACTAATTTTTTCTATATATATTAGTTGGCCAATTAATTTCTTTCTATTTATAGTAGAGACGGGGTCTCGCTCTTGCTCAGGCTGGTTTCAAACTCCTGACCTCCGAGCAATCCGCCCACCTCAGCCTCCCAGAGTGTTAGGATTACAGGCGTGAGCCACCGCGCCCAGCCTTGGCCTGAAAAATGTTATTCCTATATGTGCACTTAGCTGTTGATCAGTGAAACCGATTTCACTGGTTGCTGGTGAGTACATGTGGTGCTCATTTTTCCATTCTTGGGATACTTCACTTAGTAGAATGCATTCCAGCTCTATCCAGGAAAATACAAGAGGTGCTATATCACTGTTGTTTCTTATAGCTGAATAGTACTCCATGGTATACATATACCACATTTTATTAATCCACCCATGTATTGATGAGCACTTGGGTTGTTTCCACGCCTTTGCAATTGTGAATTGCGCTGCTATAAACATTCAAGAGCTGATGAGAAGAACGTGTATTCAGTGGTTTTGGGGCAGAACTTACATGATGTGTTGGTGACCTGTCATACCACCAGTCCTGGTATGACACTCTTTCCTTGTTGCCTGTGCCCCCCACGTCTTCCACTTTCAGTGTGGAGAGTCCTCCTGCCCCACTGTCCCTGAGAAGCTGCCTTCCTCTCCTCCCCAATCCTGGGCAGGCCCTGATGAGATGCAGCACTTCATGGACCCAGCAGGCCCCAAGTTGACCTTACCCCACACACGACAGATTCTTCTCTTCCTGCATCCCCCCAGCCTGCTGGGCACCTGAAGCCAGGCCAGAACCCCAGCAGTCCTGCCTGTTCCCACCTGTAGTCCTTTATTGTGGCCTCTCCTTCTTCCTTCTCAATGTCAAGTCCATCCCCAACCTCTTCTCCACTGCTGCAGCTTGAATTCAGGCCAGCGTCATCTCCCAGCCAGATTATTCCATCAGCCTCCCATGAGTTCTCCCTGACTCGTTTTGAACCTTTCCTAACAAGTTCTCCACTGAAGTCAGAGATACACTCCTAAAACCCAAGTCTGAACATATCACCTATCTGTGGACACCCTTAGGGGCTCCCTATGAGCTACAGGACAAAGACTAAGCCCCTTAGCTTGAGAGTTTAAGCCTCCTGCCCTGTCCCCCGCCCCGTGCTCCCCTTCTCCCAAAGTGCCTCCCGCTCAGCAGAAGTCCCTGAAGGTCCCCAAACACTCCATACCATTTCACTGCATGCTTGCAGCTTTGTTCCCTTTGCTTACAATGTGTGCCCCTCCCTTGTCCACTGGGGACAAGTGGGAGTTCCCACTCCTCCCCCAGGAACCCTCTGTGGGGCCTTGTGGTCCTTTGTATGGAATTTGTCAGTCTGTATGTCGAGTGCTGCTCTCCTGGTCTCTGTCCTCCCTGTGTCCCCACACAGCACAGGGCCAGGCACTGGGGGCTTTCAGTTGAGGTTGATGCCGCTGAACTTGCTGAATGGGACCCTCCCCCACCCCCACAGATCAGCTACTCGGCCAGCAGCATGACACTTGGCGTGAAGCGGCAATATCCCTCTTTTCTGCGCACCATCCCCAGTGATGAGCACCAGGTGGAGACCATGGTGCAGCTGCTGCAGTGGTTCGGGTGGGTCTGGATCTCGCTGGTCGGCAGCGAAGGTGACTACGGGGAGCTGGGGGTACAGGCGCTGGAGGACCAGGCCACCAAGGAGCACATCTGCATTGCTTTCAAGGCCATCGTGCCCTTCTCTGCCCGGGTGGGTGATGAGAAGATGCAGGGCATGATGCGCCGCCTGGCCCAGGCCAAGACCACTGTCGTGATTGTTTTCTCCAACCGGCAGTCAGCCAGGGTGTTCTTCGAGTCCGTGGTGCTGGCCAACCTGACTGGCAAGGTGTGGATCGCCTCAGAAGCCTGGGCCATCTCCAGACACATCACTAAGGTGCCTGGGATCCAGGGCATTGGGACAGTGCTGGGTGTGGCCATCCAGCAGAGGTTTGTCCCTGGCCTGAAGGAATATGAAGAGGCCTATGCCTGGGCGGACAAGGGGGCCCCTAGGTTGTGCACCAATGGCTCCTGGTGCAGCAGCAATCAGCTCTGCAGAGACTGCCAAGCTTTCGTGCCACACTTGATGCCTAGGCTTGGAGCCTTCTCCATGAGTTCTGCCTACAACACGTATCGGGCAGTGTACACTGTGGCCCATGGCCTCCACCAGCTCCTGGGCTGCACCTCTGGAGCCTGTTCCAGGGGCCCAGTCCACCCCTGGCAGGTAAGAGAACATAGCCCTGGGAACCCTGTCGGGGAGAACAGCCAAGCCTTAGACAAGCAGAGCGGGCACTCTCTGGCCTAAGTTCCAGGGTCTCGTCTCCTAGACAAATGCTTCTCTTCTCGTCTCTGAACCCTGCCTTCTCTGAACCACCCACCATGCCTTGGAAGTGTCAAGGGACAAGATATAGGGCTAAAAATGTCTGTAAGGGGTCCTTTGTCAGAGGCCTCCTCTCAGGAGGCTGGTGGGGAGGGTCAAGAGGCTTCCAAGGAGGGGAGGGGGCTCTGAGGAAGGGACCAGACCTTCTGGGTGGGCTGAAACCAGGATAGAAGCCTAAGAAGGCCTCAGACATTTGCTTCCTGGGCCATCTGGGTCTGTGTTGTCTACCATGGCTTCATGATATGTTTGTTTCAGCTTCTGGAGCAGATCCCTAAGGTGAATTTCCTTCTACATGAGGACACTGTGACACTTAATGACAATGGGGGCCCATTTAGTGGCTATACCATAATTGCCTGGGACTGGAGTGGGCCCAACTGGACCTTCACAGTCATCGGCTCCTCCACATGGTCTCCAGTTCAGCTGGACATAAATGAGACCAAAATCCAGTGGCACGGAAAGGACAACCAGGTAATAGCGATGTGGCCACTCACCAAGTGACTGCCTCATGTGCTGCCTGGAGTCTGGGAGTGATGCTGGCACAGCATGCACAGAGCAGGAGGGGGATGCCAGTGTCAGGCCGACATCGCTCTATCCAGCCCTGCCAAGGAGGTAGGGAAGGTTCTCCATGGGCTAGCACACAGACGCCCAGTGGGGCATTCGTTTACATGGCCGGGGCTCTGCCCTGGGAGTGAGCCCTGAAGGCAGATGCACAGAGATTCTATGTTCTGTTCCACATGTGAGCTGCCCTTTGAGGTGGGCCCCTCCATGTGGTTGCAGAACACCTGTGGCTTCTTACAGGTGCCTAAGTCTGTGTGCTCCAGCGACTGTCTTGAAGGGCACCAGCAAGTGGTTGTGGGTTTCCACCACTGTTGCTTTGAGTGTGTTCCCTGCGAGGCTGGGACCTTCCTCAACAAGAGTGGTGAGTGAACAAGTGAGTGGGTGGGCTACCTAGCACTCCTGGGGACTACAGAGTGGATGGAAGGACCTCCCTTGTCCCCCATGTGCACACACCCAGCCCTAGAACCTGGGCCCTAGACACTGGGATGCCAATTAGGTACAGGTTGGAGGACACCTGCCATCAGACTGAGTTCTTTTTTTTTTGAACAGAGTTCACTTTGTTGCCCAGGCTAGAGTGAGTGCTGTGGTGTCAGCCTAGCTCACAGCAACCTCAAACTCCTGGGCTCAGGCAATCCTGCTGCCTCAGCTTCCTGAGTAGCTGGGACTACAGGCATTTGCCACCATGCCTGGCTAGTTTTTTGTATATATATTCGTTGGCCAGTTAATTTCTTTCTATTTATAGTAGAGATGGGGTCTCGCTTTTGCTCAGGCTGGTTTCGAACTCCTGACCTCGAGCAATCCACCCGCCTTGGCCTCCCAGAGTGCTAGAATTACAGGCGTGAGCCACCACGCCCGGCCCAGACTGAGTTCTGATCAAGAAGAAACAACATACCTGATAACTTCTAGAATGTGGCCTGGAAATAGAAAAATATTAAAATTAAAAAAAAAAAAAGAAAGAAACAACAGGCCAGGTGTGTTGTGATCCTAGCACTCTGGGAGGCTGAGGCAGGTAGATCATTTGAGCTCAGGAGTTCAAGACCAGCCTGAGCAAGAGCGAGACCCCATCTCTACTAAAAATAGAAAGAAATTTGGCTGTTCCTATGGTAGTGGGTTATCAGAATTTATTAACATTAGTGTCACTAAAGTTGGTATTCAACCCCCACTGCTAAATTTGACTGACTAAAAAGAAAAAAAGAAAGAAAGAAATTAATTGGCCAACTAAAAATATATAGAAAAAAATTAGCCAGGCATGGTGGCGCATGCCTGTAGTCCCAGCTACTTGGGAGGCTGAGACAGAAGGACTGCTTGAGCCCAGGAGATTGAGGTTGCTGTGAGCTAGGCTGACGCCACGGCACTCACTCTAGCCTGGGCAACAAGTGAGACTCTGTCTCAAAAAAATAAATAAATAAAAAAATAAAATAAATAAAAGAAGAAACAACAAACCAACTGAAAGCCTTAGACTGAGGTGAGTCCTATTAGAGAGCTCCCATCACAACTTCTACAGGTGCAATCTTATCCTGAATTCAACCTCGTTCTCCAAGTGAATGTAGCTACTTTTCCCTTTGTACCCTCTTGTCCTATTTGTGTCCCTTCTAGTGTCCAGGCCAAAGACAGCTAGCTCCTTGAACATCTTGGCCTGGATGCCGATACTAGCATGTTTACAGCAAAAAACAAAACAAAACACAACAACCGAAAAAACCAGGATGCCCCATCCAGGGTGCAAAGTCAAGATCTGAGAGCAAATTAGGTAGCTAAGGGCTCAGCCTAGAGCTGGACTCCTGGGGCCACCTTCTTTCCTTTTACTATCCCTGCAGGGATGGGAATGCATTTCTTATGTCTTCATTGAGTGAGTCAGGACTCAAGAAGCCACAGAGCAGCAGCTCAGGAAGGAGGATTTGGTTAGTGGAAGTGCTGGAGAGAAAGATGAAAATCCCCTTCCTTTAGGGCTGGCTCCCATCAGATCATAGCTAATGGTATGGTGTGTGGGTAGAGTTACCAGGGCAAGGCCCTTGCTAGGGACCTATTGGTTTGGCAACCCCTGCAGGGATCATGAGCCATATAGAACACGTATGTCTTCAGAGTCTGTAATTAACACAGACATTTTGAGGAAACACTTGGCCTCAGGCCTTACTGCTGGCTACCTGCCCTCCTGCCCCTGCTATAGCCAGCAGAGCCTAGCTGCCATGGTATAGCTTTCTCAGCATCTTGCAGGCCTGCACAAACTCCCTCTCTTCAACTCTCAGGAACCTTCTCTGCCTTCCCTTTCAGACCCACACAGATGTCAGCCTTGTGGGAAAGAAGAGTGGGCACCTGGGGGAAGCCAGACCTGCTTCCCACGCACTGTGGTGTGTTTGACTTGGCATGAGCACATCTCTTGGGTGTTGCTGGCAGCTAATTCACTGCTGCTGCTGCTGCTGGTTGGGACTGCTGGCCTGTTTGCCTGGCACCTAGACACCCCTGTGGTGAGGTCAGCTGGGGGCCAGCTGTGCTTCCTCATGCTGGGCTCCCTGGCAGCAGGTAGCTGCAGCATCTATGGCTTTTTTGGGGAGCCCACACTGCCAGCGTGCTTGCTGCGCCAGGCCCTCTTTGCCCTTGGTTTTGCCATCTTCCTGTCCTGCCTGACAGTTCGCTCCTTCCAACTGGTCATCATCTTCAAGTTTTCAACCAAGTTACCCACATTCTACCGTGCCTGGGTCCAAAACCATGGTGCTGGCCTGTTTGTGCTGATCAGCTCAATGACCCAGCTGCTTATCTGTCTAACCTGGCTTGCGGTGTGGACACCACTGCCCACCAGAGAATACCGGCGCTTCCCCCAGCTGGTGATGCTTGAGTGCACAGAGGTCCACTCCCTGGGCTTCGTGCTGGCCTTTGTCTACAATGGCCTCCTCTCGGTCAGCGCCTTTGCCTGCAGCTACCTGGGCAAGGACCTGCCAGAGAACTATAACGAGGCCAAATGTGTCACCTTCAGCCTGCTCCTCAACTTCGTGTCCTGGATCGCCTACTTCACCCTGGCCAGCGTCTACCAGGACAAGTACCTGCCCGCGGTCAATGTGCTGGCCACGCTGAGCAGCCTGAGCAGCGGCTTCAGTGGCTATTTCCTCCCCAAGTGCTATGTGATCCTTTGCCGCCCAGATCTTAACAACACAGAGCACTTCCAGGCCTCCATCCAGGACTACACGAGGCGCCGCGGCTCCACCTGACCAGTGGGGGCCAAGCGGGGCGGGCAGGACTGTGAGCCTTCCCTGGCCTGAGGGTCGAAGGTCGAGCAGGAGCTGGGGCGTCCGGGAGGCCTTTGGGCTCCTCGGTCTTGGGTTGGGATGCGTAAGCGCCCAGGAGAGCCCAGCTCAGGCTCCGGGCTGCCAATAAAGAGGCGAAATGCGTGTCTGCGTCTTGGCTGGGCTTCAGGTCTGGGGTGGGGGTGGTGTCGCCTCTTGAAGAGTGAGCGGGGAGCCCAGCAAAAGCGGGCGCCCAGCTTGGGGTTGCTGGGCAACGCCAGAAGGCGGCTCCACTACCGAAAGCATTGCGCCTGGACCCGCCCTTCCCTGCATCCCATTGGCCGTTCTCGGAAGCGTCCCGCCCCATCGGATGGGAGCTACTGGTAGAAGCCCTACGACACCAAAGCGCCCGCCTAGCCGGCGCGCCCTGACGTCACGTCCGGCGCGGCGAAGGCGGTGTCTCCGCAGGGTAGGCCGGGCACACACTGCCGGGCAGTTGGTCCGTGGGGTGTGGAGGCGACGGAGCGCGGGGCCGGTGGGGCCGGTGAAGGGAGGACCAGCCCGGGTGAGGAGGGCGCGGGGCGAGGGAGGGAGGGAGGGGCTGCGAGCCGTCGTGGCCGCTGGTGGGAGCGTGCCGTGGCCGCCTTCCGCCCGGCGGCGGCTCGGGACCTGTGGGCGCGGCGTGGGCTCCGCTTACCTGTCCGCGTCTGCCGCCCCTCCCACACCTCTGTCCAGAGCCTTCCGTTCGCGCACATCCCCTGCCTTCTTTCCCCAAACTTTGATTCCTCCTACTAGCCCCTCTTCATGACCCTGTCTCCCGCCATGCCCCGTCCCCCAGCTAGTCCGCCTGCGCCTCCACCCCTCTCTGGCCAATCCAATATGGCCCCCGCCCCCTCCCCGGAGGCTGTCAATCTGTTCCTCTTCTCCGCGTGCACCCGCTAACCTTGACCTAAGCCCTCGTTCTGATAAATGTGACTATTAGAATAGAGTCCAACTTCCCCTTTCTTTTCAAATCCAGGGGCTTTCTGTTGCATACGCTTGGTTGGGCTGGCCACAGTGTCACTCCTGCCTTCCTGCTCTTCTGATCATGGACGGCTCGTTTGTCCAGCACAGTGTGAGGGTTCTGCAGGAGCTCAACAAGCAGCGGGAGAAGGGCCAGTACTGCGACGCTACCCTGGACGTGGGGGGCCTGGTATTCAAGGCACACTGGAGTGTCCTTGCCTGCTGCAGCCACTTCTTCCAGAGCCTCTACGGGGATGGTTCAGGGGGTAGTGTTGTCCTCCCTGCCGGCTTCGCTGAGATATTTGGCCTCTTGTTGGACTTTTTCTACACTGGTCACCTCGCTCTCACCTCGGGGAACCGGGATCAGGTACTCCTGGCAGCCAGGGAGTTACGAGTGCCTGAGGCTGTGGAGCTGTGCCAGAGCTTCAAGCCCAAAACCTCAGTGGGACAGGAATCAGGTGGCCAGAGTGTGCTGGGGAAACCTGCCTCTCAGGATGTGAACAGCCACCTCAAGGAGCCAGAAGGCTTGGAGGAAGAGGAAGTTTCCAGGACTCTGGGTCTAGTCTCCAGGGATCAGGAGCCCAGAGGCAGTCACAGCCCCCAGAGGCCCCAGCTTCGTCCCCCTGCTCAGAGTGAGAGCCCATCCTTCCTCCGTGGGAAACTCAAGCAGGCTCTGAAGCCTTGTTCCCCAGAGGACAAGGAGCCTGAGGACTGCAAAGTGCCCCCAAGGCCCTTGGATGCTGAAGGGGCGCAGCTGCAGGGCGGGAGTAATGAGGTACTGTGCTGTGCCCAGGGTGCTGGAACTGGGGAAATAAGAGTAGGGGAAAAAGATCAACACTTTCTTGGGATAATCTGGACCCCAAAGAAGAATTTTGTTATGTGGGTTTGGAACAGGCCTTCTCCAAACCAAGAAAGCTGGTGACCTGAGGCTGACCTTTCTACTGGTTGCAGCTGTCCATATGGGTGCCAGTTTCCTGGGAGTGGAGAAGGCAGCATCAGGACTACAGGTGTCTCCCCAGGACAGTGAAATGCAGCCAGGCTTCCAGTTCCCCATAAACAGAGCCACTTGTCTCCAAATGCAAGGTGCAGATGCTATCTGCCCTGGGCCCCTGAAGAGAACAGTTCCTGATGAAGGGACCTGTTTGGGTTAGGGGTTGGGATAGAACTGGAGCTGAGTCCCCGAAACCCCGGCTGATTAATTTGGTGACTCCCACCCCCTCCTGCTGCCTCTTCTGCCCTAGTGGGAAGTGGTGGTTCAAGTGGAGGACGACGGGGATGGCGATTACGTTTCTGAGCCTGAGGCTGTGCTGACCAGGAGGAAGTCAAACGTAATCAGAAAGCCCTGTGCTGCTGAGCCAGCCCTGAGCACAGGTTCCCTAGCAGCTGAGCCCGCTGAGAACAGAAAAGGTACAGCGGTGCCGGTTGAATGCCCCACATGTCATAAAAAGTTCCTCAGCAAATATTATCTTAAAGTTCACAACAGGTAAACATTCTGTTTTTCTATTTTCTTTTTCTGTCTGCCATTTCCACATTGGGGGAGGGATCCTCACCTGGTGCCTGGCATTGGCACAGCTCTGGTCATCAGGGAGTGAGAACCTAGCTTTGGGTGGGATTCTTCCTCCCCCTCCTGCTGTGAGTCATCTGGCTGGAGATGGGTGTGTGGACACCTCGTCAATAGGTTCCACCCACTGGACCTTGCCCTCTGGCTGGCTCCTGTCAACAGGAGGAGAGAAGCCCCTGTGCAGACGCTGAGGCCTAACCTTAGGTGTTAGTAATTAAAATTAAATAAAAGATTCAGTTCCATAGACACACTAGCCAAACCTCAGGTGCTCAGGAGCCACATAGCTCCTGGCTACTGAATTGGATAGTGTAGCATAGAACACTCCTATCATCACGGAGAGTTCTCTTTTGGAAGTGCTGCTCTGGAATCCTTGCAAGGTCTGTGGGGATGGCAGGTAGGCCACATGCCTTCCAATCCTATCACTCTCCATCGAAGACATCACTGATCCCATCACAGTGCACTTTCTTGCCAAGCCAGGTTAGGCCACAAATCTTTTCTAACTGTGACACTTGAGTAAGCCACCAGGGATCACCTGGAATCAGAGCTGGGGGTGAAACCAGGTTGCTATACCTGCACACTTTGCTCTGTGGCAGCTGCTGCCAGTGGAATCTTTGGGTAATCTCAGTGTATGGGGAACCCTGGGGCAGTCCCTGTTCTGCCTGGACACTCTGACAGGGTAAGACTCAGGTGGTCACGCTGTCTGTATCCTGACCTTGGGCTTCAGGTTGCTGGACTGGTCCTGAGAACTGGGAGGGGAGTGATGACTTCATGAGGTCATTTTGATGAGGATGAGGACAGTTGGTGCAGTGATTAGAGGAAGAAAGAAGTGCTTGGCCTCTGGCTGGACCTAAGAGCTCTCACAATGCTACACACAGGCTCTGAGGTCAGTTCATTTAGTTCATTTGTTCAACAAACTGAGGCAGCTGGTAAGACTCTTGTGGGCACTCAGGATGTATCAGTAAACAAAACAATTGTCCCTTGTGGAGCTTATGCAGCGCTATGCATATGACAGACAAGAAGTAAATTTGTGTGTGATAGAAGGTGAGAAGTGCTGTGGGAAAAGAACAAGTAGAAGAGGCCTAGGTGTGGTGGGGGTCAGGTTGCAATGTTAAATAACAATGGTCTGGGGAGACTTACTGAGATGAGATGGTGAGATTTGAGCAAAGACTCAAAGGAGGTGAGGAAGTTGACCAAATGGGTGACTGGGGCTAAGGGCTGTGGTGTAGCAATGAGCCTGGTGGGTTGACAGACAGCAAGGAGCTGCGTGCCTGACCTGGTGGGGCCTGATGGGACACCTTGGGAATGGAAAGTCATGTCTCGGGCCTTTTTTCTGAATCGGGAAGCGTCGGAGGGCTGTGAGCCAAGAGGCACTGACCCCTGACTTCCGTTTAAAGGATCTCTGGCTGTTGCTGGCAGGTGAAGCCAGTCAGGGAGGCAGGCAAGGAGCAGGCAGCCCAGGTGATGTTGCCACACTAAGTGGTAGCAGTGGAGTAAGGTGTGGTGGTCAGCTCTGGTCACAATTTTGAAGCTCTGGGAAGACTGAGTTGTTTCTCGAGGTGGTCAGGCCCCAGGGATTGTTTTTGCCTTCAGTGAGAAGGCTGGCCAGGCCTCCCCTTCAGCCCCTTTGCCAGTCAGCTTTGTGGCAGCCTCTTGGGAGGCTGGCTCTGGATGTCCCCTCTAACTGTGTGGGGTGGCCATGGCACTCTCCCTTGCAGAGAGTCTGCTGGAGGTGGTTTCTGGGCTTGTCCTTGCACGTTCAGCAGCCAAGGTCTGACTGTGCCCATGTGGTGAGCCACGAGCCGGCCTCAGGACACCTCTTCCCCTCACCGTGCAACACAGCACCGTCAGCCTCGGGGGCCAGAGGGGGCCCAAGGTTGAGGGAGACTCCGGAAATCCTCTTGGCCCCCACACCCCATGTGGCTTCTCCTGGCAGGAAACACACTGGGGAGAAACCCTTTGAGTGTCCCAAATGTGGGAAGTGTTACTTTCGGAAGGAGAACCTCCTGGAGCATGAAGCCCGGAATTGCATGAACCGCTCAGAACAGGTACTTGGGAGTTGGCCCAGGTACTTGTGGGCAGGGACACGCTGGCCTCTGTCTTGGTGCCATCTGGGAAGGGCCCCGGAGACTGTCTCAGAGGGGAACTGTACGCTTAAGAGAGCTTCAGAGTCCTTGGATATCATCGAGTCCACACCTTGGTACAGGAGGGGACACAGGTCCCAAGGGTGGAAGGGATAAGTGCAGGAGGGACTCTGTGGGAGGCACTTTGGATTTGCCTTCCCAGACCCCTGGCCCAGCTCTACCATGGGCTTTGGAGAAGGGGAACCTCAGTGGGGGGTGGCTGCTGGGAAAGGCCTCCTGGCCGCTGCCCCCACCCACTGCTGGCCCATGCATGGGGCCCAGCTAAACCCTGCCCTTCTCTTCCTAGTGGCCTGTCGCTGGCAGCTGGGGCCAAGGACTGTGCATGAGGCCACTCGGCCCCTGCCTCCAGCCTGTCTGGGCCTGAGAAGAGCCTGGTGTGTGGTGGGTTTGCAGCGCTCAGTGACAGTCAGGGCAGGCAGGTTACGTGTTACCCTCTCCCACCTGAGCGTCCCCCTAGGCAG